TCCACGGGTCCAGAAAAGACTTGTGAAGGCAGCAACAATTTCGAATCCCTAAACGCCACTCATCGTGGGGGCCATCTTCAATGGATGTATGTCTCGGCTTCCCTCGCAGCGCTTCTGTGCATGGCTCTTCGATGAGACAGACCCCTCTTTTGTATACCCTCGAGAACCAACATTTAGTACCCCCAGCCAACCTGCCATGGTCTCAGAATTCCGACCCACAAACTCCATCTATCACAAAGAACAAGATCGGGATCTCTATCATATTGGGAATCTACTGCCGCAAAAGCACCCCACACAGTAGTTTAATCCCTTCAAAATTTCTCTGGGTCATTGAACCAAGTACCGAGAACATGCATGGTTCCCACGGAAACGCCTCCGAGACCGGCATACAAGACAAAAGAAAAACATCTCCACACACAAAACCGCATAATCAACCTGCAGAATCGTGGATTGGCGAGTGAAAAGGGAATGCACTTGCGATCAATGCAGAAGTCAGGCCTGCATATACATGCACAAAAGTCAAGGTCACGCGCACCTGAAGCTGAAGAAAATTCTTAGTATTTTAGGCATGCACTTTGAGACAAACCGAGACTGGAAGGCAATAATGTTTTCTTGGTATTCTTTTATTCTTGTTCTTCTGCTTCTTCCTATTCTTTACACACGCGACAGCCGCGAGGCTAATACGGGAGCTGAGCTTCAGACGCCAAAAGGCTTTGCGGCCCATGGGTATCTTTCTATTTTCATTTCGCCATATACCGTGGTACGCCTTCCAACCCAAACTCCAAGCCAATGCCATGCAAGACTGAGTAAATCATCGCTGAGAAAGGAAAATGTATGGCGGTGAGGATCTCGGTACAAGCTTGCCGAGGAGCAGAGTAGCGGGTACTGAGATGATTAGCAACAATGCGAGCAGGAATCACGACAGTTGAACGTAATCCTGCTGCATGGGAATATCCGAGTCGACATCGCCATCATCGTCGCCAAAGAACTCCTCAAGGTCATCGGAATCGACATCGTCATCATCAATCTCTTCTCCCTCGTCGTCACTTGAGATATCACTGTTCTCGTCTTCTCCTGATAGTTCGCTGCGTAGGGTGTTGGTACGCATGACGCTGGCCTTGTGTCGATGGAGCAATTTGCATCCCTTCGTGGGACAAGTTCCGGTATTGCTGAAGTCAGGGCACTCATTAATATGACGCTCCGTGCAGTTCGTTCCCTTCTCGCAATAGCCATAGGCGCCGAAGTCTCGACAGACAAGCGCAGATGGTGAGACCCGAACATGAACGTATCGGCAATTCGGGTTGGAGCAATTTCCTTTGGTAAAATGGAGGCAAGCAGGAGTTCTCTGTGGGGTCAACTCATGTGATAGGTCACACGCATCTCCACTTGGACATGAACCCTTCTGAAGAAATTCTTTGCATACTGCAACCTTTGAAGGATCATGAATATACCGGCATCTCGGTCCTTTGTGGCATGAACCTAAAAAGAAAGTGAAGTGTTAGCTGAAACCCAGGTCGCTCCTCCACGTTTGAGGCGTAGTCAGTGGATGCTCGTAGGAAAGGGAATACCCGTAGTTGAGAATGTCTGGCATGGCTGTTGAATCTTCTTGATTCCCGCCTTCCTCCTATTGTTAAAGTGTTAGCGCTCGTGCAGTAGGGGTGAATCTCCCTGTGATCGAATGTTCGTGTTCCCTACCGATGTGCCTTGATGATACCTGCGCGGTACATGTTGCCGTTCTTGCTTCGAAAGAATCGAACGCCGTGAACTAATCTTGTCTTCGGGGTAGCTTTTGCAGCGTTCGCATCGCCTAGATACTGTAAGCCCATGGTTGATTCTTTGGCATCACCAACTGCGGTGCTGGCGTTTGAGAGTGAGTTCTCACCAGGAAGCCTCATCAGCTTGCTTCCGTCTTTGGTTACAAGAAAGCGAAGTCCATCTAGTTCGATCTCATATCCTTTAGCTCCGTTTGTTGAGTTGGGTGTAGAAGAGTTATAGGTATCATTCGCCGATCGCTGAAAATGCTTCATGAATCTCATCTTCTCACGTCCGTCCTTCTGCTTTAACTTTTGTTGGCGGGTTTGCTCCATGGCCTTTGCGCGTTGTTGGGTTTCCTTCTCAAATACTGCTGTATTGATGAGTTGTAGATGGCGATCATTCTTGGTGACCCAAGCAGAACCCGTGGTTGAGGGTTCAGCGGGGAGCTTCGTGCTCTCATCATTAGATCCACCATCGGTTGTAGCAAGGGACGTCGAGGAGTTGTTTCCGTTCAGGACCAAAGTACGATTGCGATGAACTTGAGTCGCTCTGCCACCTCGCCCAAACCCTCGCCCACTGTAGCCTCCGCGACTTGGCTGCCATGCTGCGCTCGACTGGTATCCTTCGAAGGGATCAGCCCCGGAATCAGATGGTTGTACAGATGGTTGCATACCGCCATAGCTATTGGATCTAGCTGGTTGATATCGTACTGGCTCATCAGGTGTCTGTCCATTCTTGCGCCGATTGATCTTGCCTGGAGCAAGAGGTTAGTTGATTATGAGCAAACGGATGGGCATGTGGCGAACTTACCAGCGAGCTGGCTGATCTTATCGAGGATCTGCTGGTCCTCAGAAGACATGCTTATTGTTTTCCTGTTTGTCAGTAAAGCATTTACTTGTGTAATCTAAGTATGGAGAAGAAGTGTCGTTGTGTCACAGAAGTTGGGAAACGAATGCGCGTGAGAAAATATGGTTGCGTTCAGAAGTAAAAGGCTCTACTAGCGCGCTTCGCCAAAGCGACCTCCCGCAGCCATCTCGACATCCTTGTATCCCTCCCAAGAGCTTCCCCAGCCGACAATATACAACAAAGAACGCAATCCTGTCGCCCCTTGCAAAACAATCCGTTCGCGACGGTTTTCTACTGATGGAGGCTCTGCGATAATACTGGATACTCCATACTATGGCGGACGCTCATATCAAGCCGGATCCAGAGACAGCAGGCGCATCGCCTGGTGCCTTCAGCGAAGAAGACATCTACGAAGATGCGGGCGACCTCGAATTTAACGAAGATGCTGCCTTCAAGTCACTCTATCTTGCGAAGGTCCCAAGATACATGTGGGAAGCTTGGTCTAAACTTGATGACGACGCTGAGATTCACATTGGTACCATCAGAGTAACCCAAGAACCAGGTCCCGATGGCCAAAAGAGGGTACGCGAGACGTCCGCCCTGTATATAGACATCGGGCTTGTGCTAATATGATCGCAGGATAAGCTTCATATGTTGCTCAATTCCGACATCGCGGCTCATCAACCTATCCCGAAGGAGTACATGCTGGATATTACGGAGGAGAGGGTGAAGAATACGTTTGCCTTCACAGAAAAGGATCTGCCAGGCTTCAAGTCGAAATCGAGGCAGACCTTCGATCTTGCAACTGCGAACATGCCGGCCAGGCTCACCCGACCCAAGAACGACAAGCCTATGTCTAAGGAACCATATGATCCGAACAAGAGATTCCAGCCATATTTCCGCAAGGCGATACCAAGTTAGTGGCATGGCATAGGGCTGGGGACAATGCTGATATAGTTCTTAGAGCGAACCGCCATAGCTGGAAAGGTTGCGCACGAGGTTAATTGCATAGCTGTGATCAACGAAGAGTCGGAACGTATTCTTGGACAACGGACATTAGACGCCATGAAACCTAAGAGATTCACCAAATTCTTGAACGAGGACCTGTCTGCTCTTAGCTCGGGCTTTATTCAACCCGGTACTATTCACGCACAAAACACCTTCACCGACTTCATTGTATGTATTCTGGTTTCGCCTTGCAGAAATCATGTCTAACACTTTGCAGAAAACCAAGAATCCCTCCTCTGGCCCAAGACCACAGCTTACAAAGACTGCTCGTATGCCCGAAAACGAGCTTATGGATCGTATTTTCGGCTGCTTCAGACGGTACAACTACTGGTCCATGAAAGCCCTCCGTGCCGAACTACAACAACCCGAGGCCTATCTAAGAGAAGTCCTGGAGAGAGTCGCGGTATTGGCAAAGAGTGGACGCTTCGCAACTCAATGGTCTCTTAAACAAGAGTACAAGGCCAATAATTACGAAGGGATTGGTGATGCTGTGGCACCTATGGCCGAAGGTGCAGGCGCTGAGGAAAGCGACATGGCCGACGAGGAAGACGGAGATGATGATGAAGATGTCAAATTCGAAGATGTGGCATAAGATCTCTTAGTCAGGAATGCATCCATCCGTGGCGTTGACAGGATATGGTTTGGGACGGGGAGATTTTGAAGCATTTCCAGGAGTTCTGCGCATCGGAAGGCAACCGCAGCCGAGTCTTTGCCTTCACTTTCGACGTCACAATTCGAAAGCACTCGCGCATGGTTTTTATGGCATAGAAGAAATTTTCAAGAGAGCGCAATGAGTATCAAAAAACTCCGGTTTATGGAATTCTTATCTACTAATACAGCCTTTCTCTATTCTAGGTTTACTTGATTTGCGAGTGCAAGGTTTACAACGGAACGCTTCTTCTGACAATTGATGTGGAGCAGCAAAGCCATCTGCTATCACATTACTTTGCGTTCCAAGATTGAACATTAGGGCTCTCTGACGTCGTGGTCCTTGGAATTCAGTGACCTCGGGGATTCGTTTCACCCTTTACATTCCTCTTTTTTTTTCTTTCTTTTTTTCTTTCTTTCTTTCTCTTCCAAATCCATCATATTGGTGCAGATTATTGCCAGTACAGACTTTCTTGGAGGGGAAACTATGACGAAGTTCTTTCATGATAGTAATCCAGTCTTTTATCTAGGAAGTGTCGCCCGAGAAACACCTGGGAATAGGGGTTACTTGGTGTTGATGGTCAGGAGGGGTACTAAAGTGAGATCGTTTGAGGATACTGTCCGTGATGGACATGACGACTTAGGAGGGTGGCTTACAAGCGTGGATTAAAAAAGCAGGCGATGCAAAAAACGTATGTTTGTCATCCAAGCCGAGAAGGAGCAGAAAGGTTGCAAAAAAGAAGGGGCTTGACTCGGACTCGAACCGAGGACCACATACTTGTTTGTTGTAACACCCAAAGCATGTATTCTGACCAACTGAACTACCAAGCCTGAACGAGCTCTTTGAATTCGATGTACAAAAAGTGTTTATTCAAAACTATATCGTCCATCGCTGTGATATTCGCCGAGTGAGTCAGGCCGAGCGAGTAGGTGGCGAAGCAGAAGCAGAAGCGAAGTTTCTTGCCATACATTTATACTCATCCGAATCATTATTCGAATAATCGCGGCAGCCATAGAGAGTACCGCTACACATCCAACAGCTCTGGCGTAGCGAACAATCTTCTCCCCCTTCCTCAATCCATTCATGAACATACCTCTCTGTCCCCCCCTACTTCCTTTCGTGGTCCAGTTACAGTATATAACTTGCCTTATAGTGTCCCATACTCTACAGCCCGTAAGATCCAGTATCGTCAAACCTTTGGCCTGTTTCCCATCGCCTAATTCATCCACGGCACGAGCAGCATCATTGAGCAAGATCTTTACTCGCTTCGTGGTGACCCAGATACAGTGACTCAAGTCTACTTCTTCTAGCTCTTTCAGAGTACAAAGCCCGTAGAATATCTCGCCAGGGACAATTCTCTGAAGGTAGCGGAGCCGTTTCAAAGGCTTGGTGACTTCAGAGGACGTGTTGATTGGATCGTCACACTTGTTAGGTGTGGATTTGAGAATCGTGGAAAGAGACTCAGGTGACGATGTTGATGGGAAGGAGTTTTTCTTTGTGTCTGGGCAGTGTGGCGGGATGGATTAAGGATGGGAAGGATCCGGAGAGGTGACGGGGACGCGAGTTATGAACTGGTTGAGATCGAAACAGGAGTCCTTCGCCGATCTCTACCGGAAGGTAAGCCAATATCGTCGTGTCCCAATTGGACGCGAGAGAGGTTGATTTTTCTAACGAGATGTCAGTACATACACGCAGAAAGAAAAGGTTCCATAGAAAATGCAACGTACTTCAACCCCCTACATGCAGTAAATACATGACAGAGCGCACTAATTGGAATATCTCTCTGGAGGTCGTATCTTTTGAGCAGCGAACTGGGAGGTGGATCGGAGCTCGTGTGTTCTCCTGTCATCCCCAACTTTCCCAATGCCTCCCAACTAGCAAGCAATCTCTGTTTCCGACAGATTCCTTTTGTCCTAGGCTTTGAAGACTTGGGTCCAGGAGTAAGAGCTCTATCGGAATGCTCTGGAATATAGTACATGTCTTCATTGCAGTATTTAAAATCCCTCCAGGTACCACAAAGCGAGCAAAGTCCAGGGTAATTTCCAGTCGTGTCGCAAGGTTGTAAATTGAAATCGCTGAGGTCGAGTGAATGTACTAGGAGTGCGTACTGCGGGTTACGAGAAACCATGTGCACGAATTGATGATTGTCAGACTGGGTTTGGAGCGAGCAAAGGGTGGCTAAGCAGAGGTTTGGTGCTTACCTGAGCGAATCGATAAGGAGGCAAAAATTGGTTCAGTGTAGAGATTAAAGGTAGTTTCAGCAAATTTTAAGGTGGTCAACCTCAAGTTATGGATAACTTGCTGTGGACAATACCCGAAAATCATCTCAGAGATCTCGTTCGGCATCACGGGGAGAGATTTCCGAGGCATTTGTGGGAACACTCGACAGGGAGCATTCCCGTCTGATGGAGAGTCCAGCATGATGCTGGACTCTGTACTTGTAGCAGATTTATCGGTCGCTTTGCGTATCCATTTCCTTCGGTGATTTCCAGGAAAAGGGGTATTCAGTTCAGAGAGAAGAGATGAGACCTCTCTACGACCTGAGAAGAATGCGTGCTTTTCTCGCGTTTGAATGTAAATCGTTTTCAATTAGTGCTTCAAGAAGGGTCGGATATACAGATTACGATTTAGCTACTGTAAGAGGAGATATAGAGAATAACGAATGTTATAAACACAGTGATGTTTGGCCCTTAGGTTGAAAGTAAGTAGGTAGTATAAATGGCCTTAAATAAATTCGAAGTATGTAATATATTGACCGTTGCTTTTTGCAAGGAGGAATGGAAACCCGAGGTAATTTAATGCCCGTATGAAAAGAATTAGAAACAAATGTAACCTCGCACAGGAAGCAGGAATAGGAATGAGATTTTCTTTGATGGCTCAGAAAGGCGACATCCAAGTATGTAGGGATTGGGAGCTGAGCGGCGCCTTGCTATTAAATCCCTTGAAGAACCCAGAGCTTTTGACCGACTTCAGTAACTCTCATCCGACACGAAGGCTGTGCAATACTCCCGCTATCTTCACCTTCAAGAGACCTTTCTGTATATACCGAGATACGTTTCTGCTAGTAGACGGGCTGGTGACTGTGAAATATCGTTAGCTGAAGGGGTAAAGTTCATCTCTGGGACCGGTACTGCGTGGCCACGCTTCCGTCCGAAGAACCGCCAAGAGATTTCTGATCTAGATTTGGATTTTCATCACACCTCCCAGCCCCGCGTTTTCACGCCGTATCTGCCAAAATGTTGGGAAGTGAAGACAGGACATAGTCGCTCTTTGAATGTCCCTTTCGGCTGAGTGATTGCGGAGTCCGTTCCCTAAAGACGAATGTCACTGTTCGTCGTGACATCAGATCAGGGCTCAGTCAGCCTTAACGAAGCTACGATCTATCGGCTGACGACCGCTCCGAGACAGATATTGAAGTTGGACGAACCGACGACTCGCGTTGGTAACACTTGATCCAATGCCAAATCGACCAAGTCCAGTGGGCCAGGCCTCCTTCCGAAAGGTACAGCCTCGATACAAGCCATGGTAATGAACGGCTAAAGATTGCAAGAGCATGTGAATACTAGAAGTGCCCTTCTTGGAATCGAGCAGCCCCTATAATGAAGCTCGCCCTTCGAGCACTGTCATGTGGTACTCCGCAAGGGGAAGCTCCCCTAGGCTCTTTCCAGAAGAGCATCACCAAGGCGAGATCACTACTCTTCTTTGCCGAGATAACAGGCTTAAACAAGGAGACAATCTGCCATCTTGACAGGCAGAGACGAAGTACAGGTGGATGCAAAAAGCTGCGTATGTGTTCACGATTGTAAATAAATAGGGGACTCTGTTGAGGATATTGGGAGAAAAGTGCTTATGAAGAGATGAAACTAATCAACAAATTTTTTTCAGAGAATGGACAAGGGCACGGGATCGGAAGAAAGTCAAAATCTGTGATCGTAAAGGAGGGCTGAAGGAGAAGTGAGGTCTAGTTCAGTGCACCCACATTTGCTTACCGGAGTTCTTGAAGCAAGCACCAGCATGGCAGCCTAAACTCCGACGAAGCTCCCCCGCCATAATCTTCAGCCTCATCAACACAAGCTCTTCGAAATCCATCCTTGGAACTGTTCAATGCGCAAAACGAAGTCTTGATCCAACATGGCTTCACCAAAGATCAAGGCAGCTCTCCAGCAGATCGCAGGATCCGCAGACAAGCAGCAAGGCTACGAAGCCCTCCTCAAGGAGACCCCGTCTCTGTCCAGTCCCGAAACTCTCATCCAAGACCTCACAGCAATCCTCGACGCAATATTCGCAGAGTCTCTTGGTATAGTAGCCACCCGATCGCTCGCCGCGTCCTTCGTCGATACCCTGAAGCAAGTACCAATCAACGATGCTAAAATCGAAGTCGGAGAACATGCCCTCACCATCTTCCAAACACAGGCCTCCTCCTTCGAAGAACAAAATGCGCAGATCCGCGAGCTTATGGCCACTGCCCACGAAGATGATGAAGACTTCTTAGCTGCCGCCAAAGTCCTAGCTGGAATACCACTCGAATCTTCGCAGAGAAAGGTCACAAACGATGACAAGGTCCGTTTCTGGATTCGTATTACAAGAAACTATTTGGAGGTTGATGATACTACACTGGCGGAGCAATATCTGAATAAGGCAAAGAATGTCATCTATACGGTCTCTGATCGCGAGATGAATCTACATTTCAGTCTTTGCCAGGCAAGAATTCAAGATGCTAGACGCAATTTCCTGGCTGCGGCACAAGGTTACCAGGACATCAGTTTCATGCCAGTCATTGCAGAGGAGGAGAGACTTCATACTTTGAGCATGGCTATCAAGTGTGCTGTTCTTGCGCCTGCCGGTCCAGCCAGAAGTCGTGCTCTGGGACGTCTATACAAGGACGAGAGAGCCAACACACTGCCGGAGTACGGCATATTGGAGAAGATGTTCTTGGATCGCCTGCTGAGCCCCAAAGAGGTTGCTAAGTTTGCTGAGGGTCTGGCAACACACCAGCTTGCGAGGACGTCGGATGGAAGCACGGTGTTAGCAAAGGCTGTGGTCGAGCACAACCTGAGAGGTGCTTCGAGGCTATACAACAACATTACATTCGATGCTTTAGGATCCTTACTTGGTCTAGATGGGGACAAGGCCGAAGAGACGACAGCTCGCATGATCGAACAAGGGCGATTGGTGGGCAGGATCGATCAGATCGAGAGAGTGATTTGGTTCGAGGGTGGTGAAGCTACGGGAGAGAAGGGCAGTGGCAGAGCGGAGAACGTGGTGGGAAAGCAGTTGAGACGCTGGGACTCTAATGTCCAGGGGCTTGCTGAAGAGGTGGAGAAAGTCACGTCTGAGCTGCAGCTCGTCTATCCTGTGAGCAATTTCTTTGCACGACCCTAATACCACTACCATTTACTAATATTTTCTACTCAGGACTTCGTCGCAGCAAATTTGGTTGTATGAAGCACCAACAAATGATGACATAAAACGGCGTTCAGAAGGATAATGCATGGGCATGAGGAGCGTTTACTGGCATACTGCAATGGCGTTACGAGAACATGAGACCAAGATGTCCAAAGATGGCAAATAGAAGAACATTTAGCGCGCTTTCAACATTATTCCTTCGCAATTCTCCATGGCTCGTTGGTGGTGATTGAGTCTGGTTATTCGCTTTCAACACCTCCACCATTCTCTCGGCGATTCGGCTTCCAACCAGATCATAGCCCTTCGGGGTCCAGTGCATACCATCATCCCAAATCTCTGTTCTCATTGTTGCAGTCATATTCCAATACGGTACGGAGTCGTGCAAATTAAAGGTATAACTGTATCCCTATTAGCTCTCTACATC